GAGGACAGCAGCACACTCCTCGTCTTCCTCTTCTCGTGTGTGTGCCAGCTCTCCTTCTGGACATCCACCAGTTATCTGCACACAACTTGAGAGCTCAGCCAGGTGCGTCTGCACCAAGGCTGAGTCCTCAGAGTAAATTGTGCGGTGCCCGTTTTAAATTGTATCCGTTTTATGAGAAATCATTTAAAACTCAAACCTGAAGCTTATAGTAGTCTATACATAATAGCTCTGTCAGTCCCTTTATCCTCATCATACTGATCTCTGGAGACTAAACGTAATGATTTCTAATGGTAAGAAAAAGTTCTTGCTCAACATTCATGTGTTTTTTATCTCCCAGGTTATAAAATCCCAGTGCTTGAAAATCTCGGGGCTACTCTGGACCAGTTTGACACCATTGACTTCTCTGATAATGAAGTCAGGAAACTGGACGGCTTCCCTCTGCTCAAAAGACTGAAAACACTGCTAATGAACAACAACAAGATTTGGTAAGTTATAGCTGCAACACCAACGGGGAAAAACACTGATGTTCCAGTTAAAGATCAAATGGTGTTGATATTGTGTGCCTGACGTTAACCTGCTTGCTTGTTATTTTGCACACAGTGTATATGTTTATGCAAGCTCTGGTTCAGCACTGTCAGGCTAGCCTTAAACTGGTCTTAGTACACAGAGCTGTTTGTAACCTGATGAACTGTTTCTCCAGTCGCATAGGTGAGAATCTGGAGCATTCTCTGCCATGTTTGACAGAACTGATTCTCACAAGCAACAACATTCAGGAGCTGGTGAGTGCATTTCATCTGAATGTTAGTTTTATATCTTGACTTATTTAAATCCAAGTGGAGAATGATATACCAGAACAATAGAAATTCCTCTACAGTCTGCTGCAAACCAACAGCGCCGCTATAATTTCTACCTGCAGATTCATTCATTTTTCATTCAAGTCATTTTTGTCTGTAAAATCGGTCATCATTTTGGAGATTTCTCACCACTGGATACAATTCTAAACAATTTTACAGCACAACATACTGCAGCGCCTCTCTCTGCCAGCAGGAACAAAAACTGATCAGCTACATTGTGGTGTTTTTTAAGGGATGTTTATGTTACATTTCTACAGGTGTTATATTTTTCAGGCATTTCAGTGTATTTAGTTGCTCTTGTTAATTTTACTCTTTCAGGTAATGTAGTAGTAGTAGTAGTAGTAGTAGAAGGTAATAATATATAGAATAAGCAATAAACACTGATAGATACAGATAAATCAAGCCTGCAGTAAATAAAAAGGTTGGAAGAATCACAGGAAGGCAATCCTATAAAAGTGCATTTACGAGTGGACCTAAATGAAGTGATAGTTAGCCATCCTGACCTCCTCTTGAAGGCTGTCCAAAAGCACTTTTGTTTTCGATCTGATTTGGGAACCATTAAGAAAGCAGCATTAGAGAACCTCAAGCCCCTGTGAAGGCACACAGGCAGTTAAAAGGACAGCTCAGGGCCAACCCATTCTGAGCCCTAAAAGTGATGATTGAAATGATAAAATGTACAGATGTGTTCTTGTCTTCTGATTCCTTGAAATCCTGGCAGCTGCATTTCGGATCAGTTTTTTTATTTAGTTTTTATTTTTTATTTTAGAGAAGTAACTTAATCTTCCTTTTTAAATACAGCACCACGGTTTCTACACTGCTGCGCAATAACACTGGGGTGTGCATGGTTGTAATTTGAGGTTAATGCTTTAATTAATGAATCTCATCTGAGGTAATACGAGGTAATAAATTAGCACACAGAGCTTCCACTGTGTGCCATTCTAAATCAGCGTTGTTTTCATGTGTAGGGTGACTTGGACCCCCTGGCCACAGTGAAGACACTGACCCTTCTCAGGTATGAATCATCACATCAACATACATCTGTTATTGAGCCATCTTGTGCACCACTGAATTATAATCAGACATGTTGCTGAATTTCCAGCTTGTTAAGGAATCCAGTGACAAACAAGAAGCATTACAGGCTCTACGTCATCAACAAAATCCCACAGATCCGCGTGCTTGATTTCCAGAAGGTGAAACTCAAGGTAAGTGCACGTGGGCAGGTACATATTTAGCATATGTTAGATTTAAATATGAAGTAATGTCAGACACAGAAGTCAAAACAGCGGTTATTAGCGATGTGTTAAACTCTTCCTCCCTGGAGTTAACGCCCTGTTGAACGCCCAGAGGACTTCTGGTGCCATGCGCTTTTTCCTTGCTGGCTCTTTTGGATGAAAGCTCTGTGTGTATTTAATGAGGCTTTTTACTTTAACGTTGTGATATCGTCATAGGAGCGGCAGGAGGCGGAGAAAATGTTCAAGGGCAAACGAGGTGCTCAACTTGCAAAGGATATTGCCAGGCGAACAAAAACGTAAGATGAAAGTCCACGTTAGACAGCAGCTCCTCAGAACCACTGGATCCTGGCTGACGGAACGGGTTAAATAATGCCAAAAAATAAAGAGTCAACACCTGTCATATACAGTATATCTCACTGTTCTACACAGTTATAGACAAAGTCAGATTCTGTCTTCTTTGAGTTTGTCCCAATGCAAGGAAATCCCTTTGAAACATCTGGGATCTGCACCAAAAGCTTATTTCTTGATCCTCTTCTCAGCCAATGTGAGCAGAAACCCATCTTTTTAAAAATTCCATCCTATAAATGAAGCCTACCGTTTGAACCTGAAGCCAGAAGTGCTCAGCACAGTGTTGCTCAGGACTGCTGTCTTTGGACGATGTATCAGTTTATCTGACTCAAGAAAAGATACTACACATGAGATTGACTACACTGGTTGAGAGGTCAGAGAGGCTCGAGCGCGTCCGTGTTGTCTAAACAAAGTGCGTTCCTTTCAGATTCACTCCCGGGGTGGCAGCACAGCTGGAGAAGAAGAGGACGGGGCCTACTCAAGCTGATGTGGAAGCCATCAAGGTTGGTTTGTACACAAAACTGTTATTTATTAAAATAATCTGCATGGAGGTTTACACCTCTAGCAGTGACCTGAATGTAAAGTGAGGTTCACTTATGTGTGTTTGTATTTCAGAACGCCATCGCTAATGCTTCATCGTTGGCAGAGGTGGAGCGGTTGAAGGGGATGCTGCAGGCCGGTCAGATCCCAGGCCGAGATCTCAGACAAGGTCAGTGTGGACCAAATACTACTCCGGAACCTCAGCTAACTGTTTTCCACCAGGCACGGCAGCGACGCAGCCCCCTGAGCCGATCGCGTCAAAACTACACGGTGCTTGTGATGACACAGAACATTCCTGGTGGGATCAAAGCAAAATACTGTATAACCAAGTGGAGCTTTCTTAGGCTTTTGGCGCTTTTTGTTTTGTGAAACGCATTTGTCCAGAATTCCACACATTGTGATTATTCAGGACAAAGTGTGGGAAAAAATGTGCACTGACTCAGTCACAGTGATGTTTCTGACTTCTTCTGCTTTTTATAACAAAAGGACCAAACATTGACCTTTTCTCACTTTATATCCAAAGCCTGATATATCCTGTTATTCCTCTGTGCCCTAGAGCTGCACTGGTTGCTGCCAGCTGTACTTGCTGATGTTCCTTCTTTACCATGAACACACACACTGTAGTTTATTTAGATCAGTCCCATATTCACTGACATGCTGCTGCAACTACTCACTAAAGCACCGTATTGGTGGCTTAATCTATTGCTGAAAATAGTCCCCAACAAAAGATACTTGGAGTTCTAAACCATAGCTTTCTAAAAACTACAGTGTCCAGCTTTTATTAAGAGAGCCACAGGAAGTTGGAAAGTAATGAGAGAGAGAGAGAGAGAGACTGAAAAGAATATAGGACACCAGCCCTACCTTTTAAATCCTCTGAATTTAATGGATTTCTCTTAAAACTCATTGTATGTTGATGTGTGGATGGATGAATATATTCATTTGTAAAATCAGGTCCAGCTGGGATGGTGGAGGAGGAGGAGGAGGAAGAAGAGGAGGAGGAAGAAGAAGAGGAAGGGGGTGCACAGATGGAGCCACAGATAGATGAAGGTGCTGGAGAGGAGATCAATGAGGGAGATCAGGAGGAGGACGAAGGAGACATGGATGTGGAGCAACATGTGAATGGCTCCTGAGTGCCGGGAAAGCATTTTTGTGTTTTTTTTCATGTTGTAGATTTCTTGTGTTGGTCCTATATCTACTAGGACTTTTTTATTTTGTAAAACCACATACAATAAACTGATTTATTATATCGCTGTATGTGTGAGCAGTTTGTGTGAATGCAGTCCACCTGTACATGTCCTGTTTAAAAGTCAGCGGGGTGCAAATTTATTGATTTAATCTATTTATAAATCAGTCCCAACATTTCACAGGCTTGATGCTCATTTCACAACACCTTTTAGAAACAATTGCAATGCATGTTTCAAGTTTTTTTTTTTTTGCAATTGTGGGACATGGTGAAAATTCATAATTCATTTTAAAATTGAAGGCAACTTGTTACAGTGAGGATAAAATGGCTAATAGTTTGGTGATGAATGGCTTAACATGTTATGCAGGAAACCACAACAATGCGTTAATAGGACATTTTATAAGGGAAACTACACTACAACCATCTGTTTCACACTTTAGTGACATGATTACATTTTCAATACGACGTAGAACGCAATTTAATACTTATTTTACAGGGACCAGCTTTACCTGAATAATATGACACATTTCTCTGACTTTTAACTTTGTTGGAAAGAAGAAGTTATACTTTTTTAACTCCCGAGGGGAAATTGTTGTTTTCACTCTTTTTACACACACACACACACACACACACACACACACACGTTGGTGGGGAGGAAGTTGCAGCGCTGTGGTTAACTTGTCAGCCACATGTCATCCCAGATTAATGAGTTTAATATGGTATACTACTTTACTGCATAAATGATGTGGAACTTGAACTTCATGTGTATTTTATTTATTCTTGTTGATTTGTTATAGTTTAGATCTTCTCTGGCGACTAAAGAAGCACATTAGTACATTCTAAAATTGTACTTGCGGAAAAAGACTTTCATACCTAGTTCAAGTTGAAACTCAAAGTTATATGCACTTGATTCACTGTCAAGCGTGGCAGTTAGTTAAGACCATAAAGAGACAAATGTTGGATATTACTGGACGTGTTGAAAAGAAAAACGGACTTCTTACCCACTTAAGAAAGAAGAAGAAATCACTGCCATTGTTCGTTCGCATTGGCTGTCTAGTACAGTGGTCAACTTCTTATTTCTGTTACTAAACTATTGGAAACTAAACTAAAACAGGTGAACAGTATGACAAACATTTGGTAGACAGTCAAATGTCGCTTACAACCTTTAAAATGGGAGAGAAGAAGAAGCTTGTGAAACAACAACGAACACAAATGGAAACCCTGGAGGCAGAGACCAAGAGTTCCAAAATTGGAAAAGCCACTGATAACGTCATCAGAGGAGGAACCAGAGGTGGTGCTCAAGTAAACAGTAAGCGAGCTTACATTTAATTGAAACTCTACTTTTAAACTCCTGCATTCAAATTCTTTAAAGTAAAAGTACAGAAAGTTTGAGAAAATGTCTTACTATGCAACCAAGCTCTGTCACTGTGCATACCAACTATAGGTTATTAATTGGTGCAAATAACAAACATGGGCAACGTCTAGCGGAAAATACATTTAATATACAACCCGTGCTGCTCGTCAATGGAGGAGATGGTGCCCCTGGTCCCACAAATATAAACTGCCATCCTGTAAATGCAGGTGACACAATACAGCCCGTTTCGGTGTTGATAGATAGATATATAGATGATAGATTAGATAAGTAGATAGAAATAGATTAGATAGATAGATAGATAGACTTAATTGATCCCAAAAGGCTGGGAATTGGCAAGTTGTAGCAGCAGGCATTACACACAGTAAAAAAGTTTAACAACACAATAAGTAAGGAGAACACCTAGACATATATATAATATAAAAAGCCAAATATAAAAATGCAAAATAAAAATGAAACATGTATAAATAAGCGATTA